ATGCCACTAATAGACATTTGCTGCGTCAAGGCAGATAGGAAAGGAAATGTGGACCCAATAGTAGGAAAACTAGGAGAAAATACATTTCTGGCTGCCTAAAATATAAATAAGCATCCCCACCCTCAACTGAGACAAGAGACTGTGGAATAAATTTGAACCACCCACTTTTTATGACGTTATCAGTAGCTTCTGTGACATATTGATGTAATGCAGAGAGCATCTTTCAGACACATCTGACAGAACGACAAATCCAGGGAGCAGCTGATTGAAAGCCTTGTATGCCCAGAAAATATTAAAGGGTTCCAACAGTTCTTTGCTGTCTTGTGTTAGCATGACCTAGGGCTACTTCACAATATCATCTTTAGGGATTGCCCATTAAAGCTATGTGTTTCCCACTTGCTACAATGCAGCATAATTTGCTAGCTACATGGGAAAAATCCCCAGTGGGGCATTTTCACAGAGCAAGATTACCCCTTCCAGAAAATGCAGACGTGCTGGCACAGATTCTGCACACATGGCTTGCCTCTTTGAACCTCACTGGAAATAGACATTATGCCACAGCCTGAAAGCAATGCTAGAACAGGCATCTAAATTCCATGCCATCCCAAAGAAATGGGGAGCACTAATTTCAAGTCTCTGAAACATGGATGTTAAAGAAAGGGATCTAGTGCAGAGGCTACAATTTACAAATTGTGAGTTTATAGGGAGTGTGAGTTTGAGAGTTCTAAAATAGGAAAGGGTGGGGAAAGTGAGAGTGTAGATGTAGTATGAAAGCCAAATCCAGATAGGTTGCGAGCCTGACCATACAGAGCAGGCTGAAGGGTATAATTATAGAAATTCTGCTGCTTCTGTACAGCTACTGAGAGCACCTCCTTATATCAGTAGAAAGGACAATAGGCATGGCAATACAACAGATTTTGCTGATCTGGTCAAAAAACACAAAAAGAAGTCATATGCTCCACTGTTACTGTTTTGTTTTTCTCTCTCAGGTTTGTTCTCTCTCTCTTTTTTTGTGCTAATGCTGCATTCTGAAGTTACAATAATAAATCAACTACACAAAAAGGCAAGAAATGTTGGTGCCCAAATATCTCCACAAATTACACTCTTCCTCCCTTTCCCTCTTTGCCCCTGTGCCCTGCACAGTCTCTGAACAGAAAAACAGGAAGAAAAGACCAGCTAGAACTTTTATTCCGAGGCAGCAAAAATGACAAAAAATTAACATCTGATAGCAAAGATGGTGTAGCAAATAGACGTTATTTTTAGGCTTACAAGAAGCCCCAAAGGCTAAATGGCAAGGAAAACACGGCTGAACTTTTCCTTTGCAAAATGTATGAAAAGCAGGCGGTTGTCTAAAAGCTACACATATTGCTACGATGGAACTGAACTTCCAAATGCTCAGATGCTATAAAGAAGGTTGAAAAAGAGAACAGAAAATGCCACAGCACAGAAAGACAGCATTGCAATTTGAAGGTCCTGGCTGAAGAAAATGAATAGCCATCCTATATTTTAGTTATGGCATGATGGGCAGAAATTCAGCAGTTAATTTGTTCCCATCAGCATGGATTCCCATGCTAGATAAGGACCTCCTGGAAAAACAGTAGGGGTTACTTGGGGCTTAGTATCTAAATGCCTCAGCAGCTGGACATTTGCAGACACAGAAAGCAAGCAGTGTTGCGTTAAAAAAAAACCCTATAGACTAGCTGTATGAAAGTGTGTGGCCTTCCAGATGTTGCTGGACTGCATCTTCTAGAGGCTAGATGGAAATTGCAGTCCAACAGCACACCTGGAGGGCTGTCTGAAGAACGGATATTACTGAATACAGATATTACTGAAGAAACATCAAGAGGCTTATGACTTCAAGATCATACGGGCAAACGAAGAAGCTATGGATAAGATCCCCAAAACACAATCCAGTGAGTGACAAGGCCACTTCTACAAGCCACTCCAGATAGCAGGAGATGAATGCAGGTTGGAATTAAGAATGTAACATTTTTAACAGACCAGACCAGAAGACTGTCTAAGTTCAGCAGCCGGACCAAAACAGCCATCCCCAAATTACTCCACTCCCTTCTACAGATGATGTTTCGTTGTCCAATTAGGTCAGCTAAACTGCATATAAGTCTTCACATTCTCTACGCCATACTCCAAACTGCAAGGCTCGTATGAGTTCCAGTTATACATATTTAGACCAATTGCTACAATTACTGAACAAAAAAATCTGCAGCTATTTGTCACAGCCGTATCATAATACTGTCAGCCCCTTGTATTGGACAAAATTGCTTTGCACAATGTTTCTGATATATCCTGGATACTTTCTGCTTCTCAGAATATAACCAGACTTAATAGCTGTACTTGCAGAGTCAACGATATTTCACAAGTACTTGACATCTATACAATTGCCTTGGTCTGCAGCTTCTTTTTTTCTGTAGCTAGGGTTGGCAATTTTAGATTTACAGTAAATAAAATAAATTCCAAAAAACACCCACAATGATAATTGGCTTTGCACCGGTAACTGATTTTGCACAATAACCTTCCACATATGTTCTATTATTTCCAGAAGAATGGACAACATGCATACTAGCAATGCACTATCTGAGGCAATTCTGAAGTCATGTTGAGGAAAAAAAATCTTAAAATTGCAGTGTGTGCAACAATTACTTTCTTCTTAAATATACCAAACATTATTATCAAAACATTTACTATCTGATCAAATGTAAATGCCTTTGATTAATTTTAAGAATATGTTGTGTATTATATATAACTTGGCAAATCAACAGAAATTAGACAACTACAGGATCTCACTTCCTGGGCATATTCTGAAGTAGGCAACTAGTTCCGCATAACAAAGAGGACTCTGGCTTGTGTTTCTCGAAAAAGGAACTACCGTTACATGGCACCTTTCCCCTCGCTTCTTGGTCAACACCTCTGAGAAACAGAAGAGAAGGTTAAAAGCAGCTGGTGGCACAGCTGTGGGACTGGCCATCCCAAAGAGAAGAAAGCAGGGTTGGGAGATCTCCTCTGAAGAGAAATGGGGCAAGCTATCTATTGTTCACATTTACATCCTGACCAGAATACAGACCTCAGCTCTTTTTGCCTTTCTCAGTTACTACCTAGATGGCGACCATTCCATCAACTTATACCTTAGGTTGTTTCCAGCCCAGCACATTGGGATAAGAGCCATAATTTTAGGAACTGCTGTCTCTGCTTGCTTTTCCTCCTCATCTCTCACCATCCCTTTTTCCTTGGCTGCCTTTACTATTGATATTTGGAAACTACTCTGGAAGTCCTTTTGTCTAAAGAGCAAGGAAAAATGCTTTAAATAAATAAAGTGTGTGTACCACAGCTCCATAATCCCTGCACCCTTCGTTTTGAAATTCTACACTTTAGTTATTTGGTGGCACCTCTATGATGCACATTATCATTTGATAAATGACTGCCCCCACAAAAGACACAGGGAGGATTTTTCTTGAACATAAAACCCCACAGCTACCTCTCTGACACTTGGCAGCCTTTATCTCTGCTCTTTCACTTAAAAAACAACAACAGTTTCCAATGTGATTTGCAAATATTAGTAGTAAGACATTGAAAACTGGAGCAAGTCTAGGAGGTGAATAACCCAAATGGTGTTTGTTCTGGAAATAAGTCTTTGAGAGATGGTTAAAAGATCTTTATATACTTTTGTTTTAAAAAGACAAGTTTAAAGAAAGCTGTGATGACAGTCATCAGAAATCTGAAGCCTTGACATTCAGAAAATGGAGCAGAGTTCCTGGATGTCATTCCAGGATGGGACTAGTACCATGAGAAAGAAATTTGAAGGAAGTGGATTGCAGCAAGAGGAAACTTTCTCATGGTAAGAACTGTTCAACAGAGGAACATCATCTCCTGAAGCTGATGGAGATGAGGGTCTCCTTAACTGCTGGAAGTCAGCTCTCAAGGAAGCTGTAGCTGCATACTGCAATGCGGACACTGTATTGGTTAAGGGTTAAGTCCAGATGGCCTCCAAGACACTCTTCCAACTCTATGATTCTAATGTGGGAAGGGGACTGCCAAGTGTAAGGGAAGAGTTTCCTGGTAGGTTCAGCTCCTAGGCAATTAGCTGCTGATCCTCATCAGACAATGAGGATCAGCAAAACAATTCCTGTTTTCAGTCTGTGTACTCATTACATAAACACATCAATCTTCTCCTATCATTCAAAACAATCTGTGGGAACAGACAAAAGGTCCATTTGGGCCCGCCTCCTGCCTTCCAGCAGAGCCAAAAAGAAGTCTAGGGTTGCTCACAAGCAGGCGTGAAAGCAAGAGAAGGTCAGTCCATTGATTTACCTAGTCTGGTAAGCTATCAGACCCATGTGCCACAGGGCCTCCAGATTACCCCCAGCTCCATCTTCCCCCAGACACAAGGGGGGGGGAGATATTTCTCATGCCCCCCCACCAGAGCAATTTCACAGTGTATTTTCACCAAACTCTTTCAGGCAACAGGTGTTTTTTTTTTAAGTGGGTCTTTTCCTGTTAAAACAAGCCCCCATTTGGCCTAAAATCAAGGAGCATGAAAAACCTTATAAAATTGCTTCCCTATGTTCTCCACAGGACATGAGGGACTTTTTGTTATAAAAAGGTTTTGTGTATGTCTGTGTCTGCCTGTGACATCCAACCTCTGGAAGTGGTTGGTCCGTATTCTAACTTGAAGCAGCTCTCGCAGGTCACCGGGGCAAGTTTCTACCAGACCTGTTCGTTGAAATATTTCCCACCAGCAGAGGTGGACAAGGCATAAATAGCAAGTATGCACTCTGGTTTACAGGTTATCTCTTACACTAAAAGTAGGCAAACCATAATTATCCAGATGTTGGACTGAAACTCCTAGCTTTCTCCACCACTTGTTACACTGGCTGAGCCCAGTGTGAGAGTTGCAAACAGCAACACTGAAGTGCCCACAGTTTTCCCACTCTTATTCTTAACCAAACCTGAGAGGTTACCCCCCACTCTATGGGGGGGGAACATACCTGTCATCACGCATTCGGGGGCTCAGGAAGCGGGATGCATCATCGTCATGACTGCTCTGCTGGCTGCTTTGTTGGCTGCTGTGGAAAGAAGCAAAGCATGAGGCCCATGTGATACATCTTTGGACAACAGAGCTGCTTCAAAGTACAATAACCTAAAACAAAGGTATTTCAAGGAGGGTTTCACAGGTTTTATTTTATCTATTTGTCATAAATAATGCAAATTAATTTTGAACATGCCCTTTTAAAACCTTGTCCTCTGGTTTATACAATAATAGCTTTTAAATTAACCAGGACTTTATATGGCACCATTGACTGCAACACGCTGGGTGGGCAACATGCACATTTTCAGTATTTTGCATTATACTCCTCCCAATTTTTATTAGCATCCCACCCCCTTCCTTTGCAGAGTAAAAGCACCAGGCTTGCAAGTAATCAAAACACATGAATAAACTTTGTCAATGCGGTGACAGAAAGGAGTGGAAAATGACGCTGACAAAGGGGCGTTTCCAACAGCCACATTACACATGAAAGAGCATGCATAAATATATCCATAGGAGTATGAATTAGGTTGGAGTTCCGTTTGCATTTTTTGTTCCTGGTTTTTGAATATTAGGTCTGAGGACAGCATTCGAACACATTTGGGAGGGGAGATCCCTTGGCAATTCCCCAGTCCTGAGAGAACAAATAAAACCTGAATCGGAAATGCCAAGATGGTTAAGGTCACCTTGCCCATGCACTTCTAGGCAGATATCTGGATGGGACAGATTCCTATCTGGTGATGCATTTTGGGCCTCCAAGTCATCCTCTGCCATTTACACCTTTGTAATCCAAAAGAGAAAGTGATGAATCAACCAATATTACATATACACCCTTAGAGGTGCTACTCCGCGTCCCAAAAATAAATAATGTCTGAACTCTTGCTGGCTATATCATAACAACCTTTCATGAAACAGTCAAACCAAGCAGACAACAACCTTGTATCGAACAATTCCAATTTTCTACATGTAACTTGCCCCAGTTCCTCAAAACCTCAGTTCCACTGTCCACGGGACATGGGTTATTGCCTTGTGCTCTAAATACGATCCATTATGGGGAATCAGTGAACCACAAAGAAACCAAGTTGAGCCAGATGAATTTTTCACGGAGAAATAACATGCTCTGCCCACAAGATGTCATCCTCTGCTTTTCAGCTGCCAGCATCTAACCAACAGAAACCTTCATACAGAAGGCAAAGCCCTGGGATTTTTGCTCTTGAATTCTACTATACTTCTGTCTGATTTACCCCCCCAGGCAATTGATGTATTCCCATATTCACATACTGTATAAGGAATTGTCCTTAAAGGGGTCGATTATTGGCAGGGTGTATGTTAATAATTTGTGCAGATTTAGAAATATAGACGGGGCAAGGCCAACAGGGCATTGTTAAGTCTTTGATGCCAGCTATCAGGAGCTACTAGATATTATAATCAATAGGCAAGAGCTATGAAAGGCATCGCTAGGTTCAAAGAAAATATGCTTCCCTCAGAAGTCAGGTTCTGGGAACAGCAGGGGACGACTACCTTACTTGTAACTTCCTTGAATTTATCTTTCTATGCTACTTGTAAGCTCCTTAGACTTACTCGATTTGTCACTGAGGGAAGGGGGATCTGAGATTTGAAGAAGCTGTAAATGTATCTAGCAGGACTTTTCTTATGTTCTTCTGAAACAAGAAGAAAGCAACTTTTTTAAAACGGGGTCCAACACTCTCCACCTCTCTGATTTCCTCCTACTCTTAGTTTTTCATAAAAGAAAACACTGAGCATCAAATCAGCCTTTAAGATAAATGCCTATAATATTTCCGACTATTACAGCCCTTTCTTTCCAAGGATGTCATTCCATCAGAGAAGAGTCAGACATGAAGCTCAGATTTAGCTCTTGATGATCAATCACAAATTGCAGGGGAGTAGGGCTGCTTTTGATATAAGTTCCTACCTTTTCCTCTAATTGCTCTTCTCTTTTAAACTTTCATTCTTACAAGACCTAGGAGAGAAAGGTATCTGATCTTCAGATCACTGAAATTTGCAAGTTGATAAGTACAGTAAAGTCTTTATGAGCCTTAGAAGACTAAGAACATTATTCTCTTTAGAGTACAGTTAGTCAAAGTCTGCTTGCTACAGCCATTTGTTACATTTATGTTTATGTGAATCTACAATATGATTCTGGTCTATGGAAAGAGGAAGTTGCAATCTTAAAGCCCCACTGAATGCACCAGGACTACTTCCAGGTAAGCATGTTATAGAGACTTGAACAGCATATATAAATTATGATCTCTACGCTGAATAATGCCATCTCCTAATTCATGAGAAGAACAACTGCTTTTGCAATATATACATCAGAATCAGCCTCTTACCTCATTCCTTCAAAGCTCAGGAAAAAGAAAAACCATAGAGTCATCTAAATTCTTGGAGTCAACCAGACCTAGCCATAGTTCCTGGGGCCCTTGGTTTCCTGGCTACTTTACACTCTGTTTGGTGAAAAATGTGTTCAATCTCAGAGTATGAGTATCTCCACCTGTGGTTGCATGTCAGTTGCAACTAACATTCTGCATGTCATTTCAAGAAACTGAGAACCTGCAGCAACCATCAGTAAAAATTAACCAACTCAACTTAACTATTAAACTTTCCAAACAACACTTTTGCCTTTCTCTTGAGTTGATGGTAGACAAGGCTAATATGCACAACAAAGGTCACTCAGCAGAGTGGGTGAAAGAGTAGGAGAAGGACGTTGCATTTACACAGTTAAGTATGACCTGCGCAGAAGACTTTTTTTTCTTGTATGTTTCATCCTTCCCGAGAGCTATGCCAAGGTAATGTTTGACATAATGTTCAATGCAACAGAAATGTGCATGTGTGTGTGTGCATGCAGAGATGTTAAGAGACACCTAGGATCTCTGGGTCCACACTTACACACATCCAACCAAAGAGGAAGAGAGGTGTGGAGAAAATGACAGAACTTACTAGCAACCAATATTAAAGGGCAGGTTTAAACTGATGCCCTCTCAATGCTGTACCAAAGACCTCTTGATGCTGTACCAAGCAGCCGGATACAGAAACCACTCAGAACTCCAGAAGGGAGCACCTCTGGGGTCAGTGAAGTACTGTATTATCACATTCTGGACTGGTCCTGACCACTAGAATTAACCATTGGAACCTCCAAGACCAGAAGGTCTGTAAAGGCCTTCATTTTTGGAATAGTTTAACCTGCAACACCAGTCTGTTGTACTTCAGTGTATACACCATCCAGCTTCATTCCATAGCTCTGAATTTTCTCTGAGTGCTGGCAGTGGCATCTGGAACCCACTGAAGTTTGTGGAGCTGAAAGCACAACGTAAGTAGGCAGAGATGG